ACTATATGTATAAAATTCAGTAATCTGATTACATCTCAAAAAAGGTCATTATATATTTCTGTATATGCAATCCATACCATATGTCAAAATCCTTTCAAAAGTATGTTTTTCTACAACAGCTAATTATAAGCCTTTAAATCATTCATGAAATTAGTTGAAATGAGTGCAGTTGAAAAAATTCTGATATTTTGATTGATTTTTAACGAATACGCCTCTTTAGCCAGTTTCTTTTTGGAAGTATTATCCATTGGAAAAAAGTAAATAGCTTATAGATATCGTAATTTAGTAACAAACAGACATTTAAATCACATTGTTATTTAAGTGCATATTTATGAAAGTTTCCGCATTACTGAAGAATAAATCTTAGTTATGAGTTGTTAGCCATTTCACTCAACTGATATATGTCTGTTTTTACGTTGTCCATTTTAAACTTAAGATGTACCATATTAGGCGTTTTTTAAACCAATAACATTCGATAATGTTTAGTGAAATAGATCTAGATTACCTCTGATCAGCCACCGTTTCATATTTCATCATTATGTCTATGAAAACTAAACGAAATTGTTGATGCAACAATTTTTTTTCTACTTAACCCTATAATTAAGTTATATAAATAAATATGTTTTGAAAAGTGACTCCTTCTCTGAATTCCTGTTTTTAATGTTTTAATGGGAATAATTGAAAATCTAACTTCCTATAGTGGATTTCTTTCTTTGTGAACATTCCTAAAAGAAAAGGGATTTTGTCAAGATTTTTTTAAAATTCTGCAAATCAATTTTTTTTATACTGACGACTAAACGTTATAAGTTGATTTGTTAACAGTCAAAAATTAAGTCTGGTGTTTGGTACATCTATTTGTTTCTTTCTCTAAAGATATTTATTCAACTGAGGTTGACACATATGGGTAAACCAAACAGAATTGAGTCAACAACACACCCGACAGCTTAATGCAAACGATTGGAGATTCAAAAAAAAAAATGCTCAAACAACACTTATCAATACTTATCAGTTAGTCATGCACATAGAGGATTGATTGTAACGCTATACCATCAGAATTAATTTCCAATGTTTTAATGAGAACTATCCTCAAGTATATAATTATAAGATGATTATCTACTCGTTTCATTTGAGCTTATTTTCTGAAGCACAATTCGGTCATGTTATTCAATAGTTTACTGTCACATACAAAGAAGAACTATCGGACAATAAACGTAAAATGTGTCTATTAACCCTTCATAATCAACATTCTAACTGGAATTTCCCAGCGAACTATAAAGATTATCCTAAAGCCACGATAAACGAAACGTAAATATTCATTAATTATTACTTTAAATCCCTCTTTTTTCCCTCACCATTTGTTATTCATTTTAGATATTTAGATAAAATCGACTCAACTCATATTTTGTTTACTATTTTTTTGGCTTCTTTTCTTACAAGTAAGACTTTATTAATGCCATTATTATTATTATTATTATTGTCGTTGTTCAAAACCAAACTCTTCTACTCATGTTGTTTTGATGACTGTATTGTGTTGATGAAGATTGGATGATTGCGAATGTTGTTAATGTTGTTGATGATATTGGATCCATATAGGATTTATCTACTTCTTAATCAGTCAAATGACTAATACTCCATATCTACACTATATGAATATATATATATATAATTGACTAATGTGTTTATATCCTTATTCATCAGAAAAAAACTCAGAATTTCCATATTAAATCCAGCATTTTAATGAGTTTATATATATATATATGCATATGTATATATTTCGCTCTTTCAGCCGTTTCTTCAATTTGTGCCTATTAATCTATGGCTTTATTCTGCTTCATCTTTATTTAATATGTTTACGTTAGTGTAACAAAAAAAATAGACTTCATGTGTCTATCCATGCAATTATGTTCGTTTCAGAAATTGCATACAAATAAATAAATAAAACATCAACACCAGCAAAAACCAAATAACTGCACAACAAAACAAAAAGAATTAAGCCTGTATGTGTTGTGTACTTGATAGCTCTACCCACATGGGTGGGTCTGTTCATACGACAAAAAGACAATACCTAATACTGAATGACAGACATTGAAAAATGACTATTTGACTCATACATCTTCATAAAGCATATTATTTATTTATCTAAATTACTTTACGTAGTACAAAACAAGAGCAATTATATATATATATATATATATATATATATATATATATATATATATATATATATGAGTTGCTCAACCACGATATGAGTACATGTTTTCTATTGAATAAATCCGTTTTTTCTTTTCTAATCATTCTTTCCTCATTCTTTTTCACAAAGCATCAGCAATAAAACAATTGAATTTTCTTCATGTTTTATTGTGTTTTTTTCTCTTTTCGATTCATTAAACTTGGACCAACTGAAAGTGATTTGATATCAAAAATGCATAAATATTGTTTTCCAAACAGAGTATAATAATATTTTTCCCCATTTTAAATAGTACCTTTTCTCCCTCGCGGAAGACAGAAAAGTAGTTTAACGTTATATATATATATATATATATATATATATATATATATATATATATATATATATGTTTATGAATATGTTGTCAACAGTGTACCTAAAAAGCAATAAATATTAATTAGTTAATATAACTTCCTCAATTAAATTTGAACAGATAATATTATCTGTCAGACCAACTACAACTTATCATAGAGGTATAATTTCAGATAATCCCATTGAATGAATCATAAATATGAATCATATTTTACAAATAGTATACATGAATCATTCAAAATTATTATTATTATTATTATTATTATTATTATGCTTGTCAATATTAATGGTCATACAACATGTTTTTATTACCTGTTTCCTTTTTTGCAATTATTTTTCTTTGCGGTTAATAAATACTTAATCTCAATATATATATATATATATATATATATATATATATTACTATTGTCTAGAAGGAATAAATAGTATTTTTCATGTTTACAGTAAATTATAAAAATGAAATATAGAAAACAGTGATAAGTTATTTGCATGGTTTTGTATTTAAGAGAGGAATTCCAGCTTTACTTTTCCAATCATTTAACAAAGGGTATAAGTGTTGCAACATCATGAAACACTGAAGCAATTTATCATATCATAGATTAGCATAGAATATGATTGACTAGATAATTTTACCGAGTGCTTGACTGACAAATTTTTGTGCGCATTAAAGACTGAAAAGTCAATAAAGGAAAAATATCTTGAATACATTGTTAGCTTATTTTGTTAGTTTAATGAAAGAATAAAAAATTTCGCTGTTTATACCATAATGAATTTTTAGCAATCTATGAAACGATCAAACTTAATGATGAAATTCTAAACAATCAAAATTTGATTGATAAAAATCTACACAGTTGTCGCTTTATTTAAAATTATATGTAGCAGCAACCTTGGTAATGACACTTATAAACCAATCTAAAATGTTACTATTAGAAGGGAGTTTATTTACTTAAACACTAGAAGTAGCTAGGATTTTATTAATAACATTTATGTTTAAAAAAAATATGAATCATATTGCCAAGTATAATTCCAACCTAAAGCAATATGATGTAAGTATGTTTTCATCTATAAAACATGATATGTTTTTGTCATAAAAGGTTTATTGTACTTTTCTTAGTAAACCTGGAGAACCATGAATAGATAGGGAGGATTCGACGCTCTTCTTTGCAAGGTTGATATCACTGATCTTTTCTTCATATTTCAGACATTAAAATACTACCTTGACCGCTTTGATTGCGAAGGTTCTGAATTGAATCGCTTGTAGACTGGCACTGTTTATTAGTCCCATAATAGAGTACAACAATAGTTCACATAACTTTTATTTTGATTTTATCTTCAATAATACGCAATTTCTGATGAAAATCTGTATCATAGTCAACTATTTGTGTTGTTGTTAAGATTATTTATAAAATTAGGATTTTATCATTTCGACTATTTGTGTCATAAACTAGATGATGTCAAAATAGATGCATATGAAGGTCAAATGACGTTAAAATTTAGGTCAGTTATAAGAATTTTAAAAAAATATGTCACACCTAATTATATCAATGAAATAAACAAAATTTATACATAATTGTATATTAGACAGATAGATGAACATGACGTTACTTAGGTGTGCATAAATCAACAAAACATTATCTAATTTTGATTTGTCCCGACAGTAAACGTTTCAAAAGAACTGACATTATGTAAAATAATGTCAGAACAATTAAGCTGGTTTTTATTTCATTATTTTGCTTATAGAAAAACTAAACCGAATAAAATATTTCACAATGCTGTCTTACTATGTCAAACCTTTATATGACATTTCTGTATAAAAAAGGAGAAAAATTTTCAAATGAAGCAGAAAAAACATCTAAATTAGATTGCAATAATTAAGTCTAAAATGTTCTTAACTAACAATCTTGAACCATTTTTTTATTATGTAACATTACTCGTGAGACTGATATTGTTGATTAAGTGTTAAATGGTCAAAAATAGACATACTGAGTGAAAAGTCCCTACTTACTGCTTCTACCACAGCTGATAGACATGTCAGTTCATGTATATATATGTTGACGAGTAGTGAATACCCCATAAAGACGTCCACAGGGACCCAGTAACGCCATGAAACGTCCTATCCAATCATTATTGAATAGAGCCTTATCAGGAGCATCTAGAAAATGCAGGACGACGCGCCACAATTCTGATTGGATATTTGGCCACATCGCTACCATATTGAGTACGGTTCTTAAAACTTCCAGATGCCTAAGTTGATAAGCAGCTTTATAAGTTCTCGCATTTTTCTGTACATTAACTGACCTCAGAGTGACGCATTCATTCTCTACTACGTGCCTTTTTCCTTGAGTTCAAATCGCAGGGTAGATTTAGTCTGGAGTTATTGGAAGTGAATATGAATTCAGATCTTGCGTTTATTTATCAGACTTACTGATATATATAAGCTTTTCTTTGTGTTTTATTTCAGTGAAGATCCAAATGATCCTAGTCTCCAGGAGCGTGCCTGGTGTCCAGATGCTAAAGTCGGCAAAGAACTTCGGGAATTTATGGAAATCGACCTAGGTCGTCAAAGTATCATCAAGTTAATCATAACAAAAGGTCGAGTAGCTCAAAGTAAAGTGAGTTCCATTTTGGTGAAAGTGATTTACAAGTCAATATAGAAAAATATATCATGAATTTAAATGAACAAAAAATTTAAATAAACAACAAAAATTTAAATGAACATATTTTTTTGTTCATAATGAGTAATAGCTTGAATAGCAGGTATCGTATCACCGAACAACATACCGGCCATTAACAACGTCATCATGCATTAATCCGGTGAATACAAATAGATTCAAGATGAATTCTATATGTTCTTGCTTGAATTCATGATCAGAAAGAAATCTTGTTGAAAAGCACTAAAGTATATTAAATCTAACGTGATCGTCATTAAAATTAAGTCAGCAATGAAACAGTATTTTCAAATAACATTAATAATACAATAATATCTATTAAAATTATTATTAGAAAAGAAATCAATCTTTATTTAGAATAACAAATGATGTTATAGTTGACAGTAGTCAACAAACTATATTTATAATAGTGATATAATTAATAATGCACATATGTCAGTCAGTCTGTCAGTCAGTCAATTACAACGTAGAACGTCGTACGTAAGTACATCAGTTCAAGTTGCCGTAGCACATAAACACAGAGACGCCATTGTCAATTCAAATCCCATAGTAGTAGAGGTAGTGAAAGTATTAAAAGTAAACAGAGAGATTAGGGTTCGAAGATGTTATTCAAGAAGTATAATTCAATGAGGTAAACTTAGAAAAAGAAAGGTAGAGGTGATGAGGAATTTCATAGAACACAAATAGTAAATGCACCTGCACGATTGCGAACGGTTTTGAGCCATGTCACTCAGGGTCTCTAACCATCGGTTGTCCCACGATACTCGAACAATGCTTCGGAGACACAGATGATCGAAAACCAGTAACCTATGAATATCTTCTACTCTCACTGCCCATGTTTCACAGCCATAAAGTAGAATGGAACAAACTTCTGAGCAGCAGACTTGCCCTTTGGTCAGCAAACGGATATCTCGCCTACGCCATAAGTGACGCAAGTTGGCAAAAGCCAATCGAGCTTTCTGTATCCAAGCTGAGATTTCGTCAGTCACCAGGCAATCAGCGCTGATGAGACTCCCAAGATAAGTGAAGCGGTCTAAACGTTCGACTACTTCACTCCCTATCACTAGTTCAGGTGCCGATGCAACCTAATCTTGAATCAACATTTTGCATTTCGAGTGTGAAAACCGCATCCCGAACATGCTTGTATTATTGCTTATGGTAGTCAGAAAACTCTGCATTTTGTCAGCGTCTTCACCGAATAGAACAATGTCATAGGCATATACTAAGTCGATAAGCGAGCCTCCTGGTAGAAGGTATATTGAAAATTCAGACGAAGATAATTTCATATCTAGCGGCATGTCTATGACAAAATTGAACAAGAATGGAGAAAGTGGACATCCCTGACGGACACCACTTGAAGTGAAGAATTCCAATGACAGTTCGCCATAAACTCTTACTCGACCAGTAGTGTTCGAGTAGATAGGTTATATAAGGTTAATGTACTTCTTTGGTATACCTTTTAATGATAGACACATATGATTCGAGCATTTATCTAAGTTACTACTTATTTAAAAAATTTCCCATGAATTCAAAAAATCCAGTAAACACATATCTTCTAACTAAAATATTTGTTTAAAATTATTCATAGTTTGTTGTATGATTACGTAGCTATTTGTAAGGCTAAACTAGAAATATTTCGTGACTTCAAATAAATTTCATACATGTTTTTTGTGTTCATTTATTTATATGATTCTTTTTTTTTCTAAAAAAATGTTATAAGAATTATTCATAACGTTCAAGTTTTCAACATCACTTATGTTAAGTCACTATTTTTTTTTCTCAACTTTAAATATTCCCATTAAGTTTTGTTTTTCTTCTTCATCTATGACGATCCTTCTTTTAATTTTGAGTTTAATGACTGATCTATAGTGAAAACTCCCAAAGGTATTCTTTCAACAATCGATTTAAACATAAAGTTTGGACAACAGTGCCTTTTTTTTTTAAATATTAGAAAAAGAATAATACGGAGAAGTTTATGCCTATCTTAAATTGACTGGTTTACAAGCCACTAAAAAGTCATAAACAAGCAATGTATTTTATTTTAGTGTGCAAATAAGATTAGACAAACTATTGGCGAGGCTCATTTCATAATGAACGTGTGAAGTGTTGCAATTGTGCATCTTTGTGATAATAATATTGTTATCAGTGATATAAATGACTAAGCATAAACAATTTTGAATCCTTACAAATAAAAAAATTGGACAATGGGAAAATAGACTGAAAATGTTCCCCTTTTATTTTAATACCAACCATGCCAGTCAAAGTCTTTACTGATTGATTATATTAGTCTGGCAGATCCCAACTTGGCTATCTACTCAAAACTTAAACGTTTGAGAGCAGTTGTCAACATCTTCACAAATCAATACCATATGTGAGACTGACTACTGCTAGATACCTCTCAACTTTCTATTGTAAAAGTTAGTTTCATAGAAGATGCTGACAAACTTTATATCGTATGAATATAGATTAGAAAAGATACCAAAATAATCTTGATTCTTCTTTGAGCTGATAATATATGCTTTCTTAAATAGAGTTAAGTGCTCCGAAAATATGCTAATAAACAGAAGAGCATGAATGTTTGCCTGGTGAAAACTAATCGTTACGAAGGCTAGTTTGCCTATAAGTAACTGGCAACAATATAATCAGTAAGATTTCTGCATTTATATCAAATAAATAAGTGACCAAGTTTTATAGGGAAAATTTAATGTAACGGAATCACACAATATGATATGTAGTGGTTAATTGTGACTGTGACCAATATCAACATTCCAGCTCACATGCAATTGGCCAAGATTGTACAACATCCATGAAGTATACGATTAAACATTATGTAAATAATTGACGAATTTCACATCTATGATAAACATTTGGATTTTTTTATCGAGAACAATACATATAAATTTTTCATTGCAAACTATTCCCTAGACCGGTTACAATATGCGAAACATGCAGACTTTAAATATTTGTAAATAATTCACATACCACGATTACTTAAACCTTCCTATTGATATTTAGAACTGCAACTGATGGGTATCTTTTTGGTATATGTGCATCCTGTGAGGATTGCCTCAATATTGGCATTAGATAACAAGTATTTTTCAATCAGAGATAAATGGTGACTATCAATGGAATAACTATCAACGACATTCATAACTTTACCCAAATTATTATCAGCAAAGAACTATGTGAATGCAAAGATCTGATAACAGAAGAGAAGCTAGTAGTAACTCATTCATACTGTGAATTCAATTCATCTCATTTCACTGTTCACTATTCTCACCACTATTCAGGAGATTGTTTTGCATTACCTCTCGAATGATGTTTATTTCTATTCGTTTAACAAAAAAATAAATGAAGCTATCTCGTCGCCATAGACAATTGAAATTTCAACTGGAAAATATTTTATTACTCAACAAAATTTTCGCTAAAACTCCATCTATGCACATATTTCAAAGTATTTATTATTTTAGTTAGCTAGTTTAATAGAAAGTGTTAGTTGGCTGTTCCAAAAAAATACCCATTTGGCTACATTGTATAGACTAGCTAACATAAATTTAAATGGATTCAATTACAATATGTTATCTATTTAAAAGTGAACATTGACTTGTAAATCTGAGATTCGATTAACAAGGATATTGTAAAAAAAGTAACTTGATAGTCTACATTGTCTAACTAACTAACTAACTAACTGGCTAACAGCTGTTATTCACTACTACTACTACTAGTAGTAGTAGTAGTAGTAGTAGATTACATGACATTTTCAGTCTAATTTTACATGACATTCACAAAACCAAGGAACCATACAGTAACTACATGAATATGAAAAAAATAAACATGAAACATTAAAACTGATTCTAGACTATCAATACTATTTTCTTTTTTTTTAACAATAGATCTGGTCTATCACTGATGGGAATTCTATGATTCCTTTATTGTCTTTCTTTTTAACGAAGAATTGTTTTTTTTACTTTTCACATCTCCATATCTTATTGTGCTTTCTTTTCTCTGTTTATTTTTTTCTACAACAACAGGGTAGACAAACAACACCTTATTTTTACATAAAATATCGACGTGAATTAACGACCGCATGGTTTGACTATGAAAAAGAGAATGGTACAAAAGTAAGTTGATCTGTGCGCAAGCAATAATAGTGCAATAATAATCACAAGAATATTTTTTTTTAGCCATTCTAAATGATAATGTTATGTGTACATAATACACTGATAATTATGTAGAATAATTCAAAATGCTTTGTACTGCTGTTTTATGCTTTATTTGAGAATGGTAAACATTTTTGCGCTTTTCAAAACTTACAACTGTTTATCGTCATCAATAATAATAATAATAATAATAATGTCAGTCAACTTTTTTAAATTTCATTTTTGCTTTAGCGCCTGGCCGGTAACCAGGATGCAATGACAGAGAATTTCAATACAATGGATCCACCATTTATTGCGCGTTATGTACGCATTTATCCATATAGTTTGGAGCCAACCAAAACTTGTTTAAAATTAGAATTATTAGGTTGTGAAGCAAGTAAGTGAATCGATGGTTTAACTAACTATATTGTAAGATAAGACATTAAATTTTTTTTAAAAATTGCCTTTATTTATTTATTTTTATTTATGCAATTACGTCTAGTTTGCTAAGCAACGAGATAAACTATGCTGAATTCTATCCAGAACTTATAATAAACATTATTAATAATATCTGTCTTTCAATCAAAATTGGTTACATAATAACTCAAAACCTAGTATTTGAATATTATCATTATTATTAGCGTTTCTTAAAATATTTACTTTGGCATACTTTTTGAATGATGCAAAAGATTGTCTTGAAAGTGAATGTACTTTTTGAAGTTTGATAAAAAAAAAAGTTGCGTAACGGTATTCAAAACAATGACACATTTATGTATAAATGATTCCGATCACAAATTGACATATGTGTGAGAACGTTTGGGAAATGTACAAGCAATAAACACGTGATAAGTAAACAAGTGAATCCTGTTATTCTTATCTGATCAAACCTGATGCAGTTTATAGATCATTAATTTGAAGTAAAACTGCTCCATATTTGAAACATTTAATGTTTAAATAACAACTATGAATAAATTCACAAATTTATTCATAGTTATGATAGTGAGGGATTCATGAATAGTTTTTTTTTTTAATAATCGTTAATGATTACTCAACATATCTGTTGTAATATTTATTTCAACGAAATCAGTTGACTTAGTCTAATCACCTATTTCTTTTCTTGTCATTTTTTTATAGATGGTATTTTAGAATACAAAGCACCTGAAGGAGCATCATTACCTGAAACCATTTCTCCTTCTCATCAGCAATACAATAACAATCCATCAAATGAGCGTACACGTTTACTAGATACAACATACGATTCAAAATCGCATAAATTTCGTTTATTTGAAAACAGCCAAAAAGATTTTATTCACGATCAGGCATATCAAACAATCATAGAAGGTGGTTTAGGCAAATTAACTGATAATGATACAGAATTCAAAACCAGCACCAGGTGAGTTATTTAACTGTGAAGTGTTGAAACAAGTGCTTTGTTTATGAGTAGAAGTCAAACTAACAATATAATTTTACTTGAACAGTGAATACGGTCAAATATTTTATGAGTCTGCAAGCCATAAAATTACAATTAATCTGTTGCTCCAAAATTTATTTCGTAGGCTTCCATTTATAGGGTATAAAAAATCCTAATAATATATTTTAAAAATGATAATTACAGTATTCATACTACTTTAAAGCATAGTCTACATAGTAATTCTAAATATTGGGTATGTTATTTTGTTTGAAGTGTTCTAGTTCGAAAACTGTTTAGACAGTACATTTTTCGCATGCATTAAAGTAATGTATTGTGTCAGTCAGGAACTAGTGATTCCTCCTTATTAAACATCTTGTTGTTATATGACCGGTGTATGAAATGCCTTCACCAGTGCTTCATTGGATCGGTTATAATCATCCACAATTAGAGAAAATAATTACCAACCGAGAACTATAACCGCACTAACATCCTACATAAAGAGTTCAAAGTAGCTAGTAAACATCGTATAGTTACGCTGCTCCCATCTGTACTTACTTATTCGTTTGTAGCATAGTAGTACATGTGTTGCAACAACATGAAGAATCACTAAACATCTACTAAAGAATATGACGCGCAATAACCTCAGATTTCTTAGTAGTTCTGTGTCATTGATATACAAAAGTTGATGAACTTATGTACAATTTATGCACAATAAACAACAGTTGCACTTTGCAGATATAGCAGTATATCACTGTAATTCACTTATAACATAAGTGCACATAGAATGCTGGTAATAAATACGAATGTTGACTGAGAAATTGGGAATGATGCTTTATTATCGAAAGTTTAGTTTAATTTTGTTTAAATAGATATTATTTGATAATTATATATAAGCAAAACATTTAAAAAATAAATTACAAAGAAAATGGATGTTATGTTTGTTAAAATAATATTAGAAAGATTTCAATGCATTACTTTTATCACCTTAGTTGTTGGCTATAGCTTGCTCACTATTAAATGTTTGTAATGAGTTATGCGTGTTATATAGACTAAGATAATAAAGATTATTAGATCGACTCACTAATAGTCATATAGCAAATGACTGTTGTTAAACATTTAGATATACTACAGTTTTTTTGGACTTCTAATTACTGAATTTCTTATGAATAGATTTAAACATACAGGTATTATTTAAAGTTGTTTAAATTCACAAAATTTATCCGGTAAACAGATATAATTACAAGCTTTAAACTAAAGCACAAGTTATGTCAGAACAATGACTGTTGTTAAAGCAGTTTACACCACTTAAATATATATTGATGAAATATGTTTAGCACTAATGAAGTTCATCTTATCAAACACTACACTATGATTAATTCATATGTTTAACCCTCAAATATATTTAAATGTTGGTTAGTTTGAAATAAATTGCAACAAATACATTACATATTGATTGTAATATTTGTTATACTGTTCATTTTTATACTTAATAGCCCTTTTTCAAGTCATAAATTTATTGTTTGGAGAAGAAAATCATCCACAATACCATTCAGTACGACATTGTTATCAAATAAATCAATAGCTTTAAAACAAATTACTGAAATGGAATCCGATTTTCTTCGTATCATTTTTCGATTTGACATGATTTATAATTTTTCATCTGTACGACTCTATGTATCCAATGATTTTTTAGTAGGTTTAACTATACCACGAAATATTACCATTGGATTTAGTTTTCAAGATCCATCACCTCATTATTATTATGGTCATTATGATCAGAGTAAACAACAGAAACATGATCAACGGTATGAACAAAGTGTACCGGCAAATTCATGGTCATCATCAATCCTTTATCAATTGATACCAGACAAACAAAACACTGATTCTCGTTGGATTGTATTACCAATACACGAAATTATCAAATCAAATCATGCAATACAGTCAGTTACAAGACAGATATCTCATAATCCAGGACAGTTAATTCAAAACAATAGTGATGCAGTTCAAATGAACATATTTGGATTAGGACAGTTTGTAGAGATTCGATTATTTTTCAATAGTGAATGGTTAGCTGTTGGTGAAATTCTGTTTGAAAATTGTAAGTTTATGCCGGAATTTTTTTCCCTCCCTTTCTTTTAGTAGTTAAACTTGATTTTTTAAAAATTACTTTTTTATTTAAATACACTGTAGTGTTTAGTGTTCTAAGAATCCATTATTATGGATCAGCTTTTATCGAGCAAATGTTTGATTGCAGTAAAGTAGGTATCAATATAAGGTGAACACGAAGAAAAACATATCGAAATGGTTTCAAGTGATTCATATAGTACTCATTCACACAGCTAGGAAATAGACCAACAGTCGTGTACGATTCTACGATTTGGTGTCAAACACAATTTCAAATGACTAAGCTTAAAATATCATCTAAAGGCAGTAAGATCTCCAAGATAATGAATTACTCAGTTTATAATCGAAAACATGAATTACTATTTTCACATGGTTGAAACATTCCTATAAACATCCTAAATGAATCTCAATATCAAGTTATTCTATAAAGCATTTTCATATGTTTACGTATAATAGGTGAGTTTATATCAAGCAGTAGAATCCCGGACTCACTTCTCTTAGTTTAGACTTGTTCACTGGATATAGATGCATCAATGTGTTGACATTCACACCAAGACTTGAAACCAGCGGATTTCATTCCAAACGCTCAGTATATTAGCCCGTAAACCTCTGGGTCTAGCAGTAGTATAATTATCCGGAATTCATTTTATTTCGTCAGGTTCTCGTGAGTCCTTTGCAACCTATTTTATAAGAAAATCATAAATAATATTTAAATGTATCAACCTGATGTTCTGTATAAAAGAGATATTTAGAAAATAATCAGTTAAAAGTAATTTTTCTTCTTAATCAAAGGATTCCCAAACATATCCAATGAATTTAATTCTAAATCCTCAAAATGAATGAGTACAAGTCATCAAAGAATTTGTTTAATATTGCTTGCCGATTAAGTTTTTAATGTTAATGTGTCTATTTGTTTGGAGATTTTTTAAATGCATACAGTTTTTAATTAACAATCCATAAGTTAGTTAGCTGACTTAACTTTCTCTATTCAACATTTACTGATAAAGTTCAATGTTTTCTTGTTTAACCCTCACCCTCACAATATTTTGTAGATTATTTATGGTTACTTCCTCGACTTTTTCACCGATAAATGTGGTATAAACAACGGAAGCATTATAGAATTATCTTTAAACTCATGTGAAGATAGTGGTTGATGCTTTTTCTAAATCAGTTTTCAACCGTGCTGCTGCATTTCCAGTTCGTTTATCTCGCTTTTCATGCTAAATGGCAGAAAACAGGGGGGAATTGCAACATAGCTAAATGTTCTTTTTATAAGCCAAATAAACATATTTGATTGATCATTTACTCAGTGGGAAATGAGAAGTCAAAACAAATCTGAATCTTACCCGTACAGTATTTAGCGTATACTGGTAAAATAAGAATATTGTGCGTGTTTTCTAAAGAAGAGTGAAAATATATAAAAACTAGTAGATAGACAGCACAAGAAAAAACCTACTTACTCACTTACTTACTTATGCCTGTTACCATTAGTGGAGCATATGCCACCAACCGGTATTCTCTGACCTACCCCGTCCTGGGCTTGCCTTTCGGTTTCTGTCCAATTTTTGTTCATTCTTTTCATAACTGCTTCCGTTTCTCGGCGTAATGTGTGTTTTGGCCTTCCACGTTTCCTTTAGCCTTGAAGATTCCAAGTGAGGTCTTGTCTTGTGACGCAGTTGGCTGATCAATTACATCATGGTGTTCAGTAAGATTCTACAAGATTTTCTCATGGAAAGAATGAACAAAAATTGGACAGAAACGGAAAGGCAAGCCCAGGACGGGGTAGGTTGGAGAATACTGGTTGGTGGCATATGCTCCACTAATGGTAACAGGCATAGAATGTTATCTCTGGCACTGACATTAGTTTGATGCTTCTGTAGTTCTCACACTTCAGCTCACAATCATTATATTTTAACATTTTGAGGGATTATCCCTCTCTCCCTGTGCTTTTCCTCAAATCTTTCTAAAGAGAATGTTGAGCATCTGTGCAGTTACTTCTATGTCTAACTTAAGTGCTGATACTGTATGCTGTCTGGTCCTGCTAAGTTATCGCTCTTCATTTGTCTGATAGCCAATCTGATTACCTAAAGTGTTGGTGGGTTAGCATTTATGGGATGGTCTGTAAGTACTGAGTCGACGATTGGAGGGTTTAGTTCGACTGGTCTACCCGTGACCACTTCAAAGTTTTCTACCCACCTGTCCCTCTGTTCTTAGATCTTTGTGACTGACTTGCTTTTCTCTTCTCTCTAGTTTACCAGAAATTTTCTTCGTCATATTGCATAGTTGTCTCACATTTCCTTCTCTTCCAGCTTTCCCTCTGTCAGTGATAAGTTACCTACTGATAAGCTTTAATGCATCTTTTCACTAGGTTGTTTACATTTGTGTATTAGGCCCGTGAGTTGTCTTTCTCTGTTAGAAACTAATGTGCCAATGCTCTTCCATTTTTGAATCTATTCTCTACGGTACTACTTCTTGAGGCCCACCACACCCTACATACTAAAGTTTTGGTTTCTTTAATCGCTTTTCAGTTATTTTCCATATTGGTGTTTTTCTAGTAGATCATATAAAGCTTGAAACCTACACTCGGAGATCCTGTTGGCGCCTCGAAGGAGGGATGAACTGAACTAATGCTAGCTTTTCAACTGTCCAATGCTTATTTAGCTTCAGTTCTAGCTTGTTCACCACTAAGTGGGAACCTGAAACAAGACCATCTACTCTCTTTGTTCTTACGCCCTCTATAGTACTTATAAAACTTTATTCATAGAAATGTAATCGATATGGTTTTCTATAGTATGGTTCAATGAAACTCATCTAGCTCTGTGTGTGCCTTATTGTTGGATAACGTCATAAAATTTGCCAGACTTACCATTATCGTCACTAATCCCCGGTCTATACGACTTCATGATACCTACATAAATAATCGTGTAGATCCCAACCTTGGCATTTAGGTTCCTCTTCAGGATAGTCAGGTCTTCTCTGTTGACATTTCTTTATGATGAGCTCTAGCCTCTCGTACAAATGGTGGTAGCTCAGCAAGTTGATGTGTTAGATTTATAATCTCTAAGACCCTAGTTCGAAATTCCGTCCACCTAATTCCTTTTGAGCAACTAGTTTGCATCATTAGTCCTCACTTTTTATTTGCTACTCTGGTTATTAGAATAGGTATCAGCCTAATAGTTCCCTGAGAGACACTATATTTTCACGTTTAGTTATCATAACATTTCTGTGTTAAGACAAATCAACTGTGGGAGTTTAATCGTTATACTCTGGCTAAAATTTTCGTTCATTTTTACAAGATAAAGTCAGTAATCCTACTAGTAAACTTCTTTTTTTTTCTATAACGTGAGAACCATAAAAATGTTCCAAGAACAGCTATCTTTATCGTAGTTGGTAGCATTCGATTTTCACACTAAAATGAATCTTGTTTAATTGTTTACATGTATGTTCCACATAATAAACTTGGTTTCTTTTTCTTTTATTGAAGTTCAAATAACACTCATACACACATACATGCACACAAATGAAAGGATAGACATTCAATAATTTAACTTGATTACCTCAATGTTAATTCACCTAATTTGATTTGACTTTTTGTAAGTATGTGCATTATATTTTGTATAACTAATAATTATTCTTCATTTAATTCATTGCATTAAATAAATATAATCTTATTTTTTTTCTCATTTAATTAAATGGTTTCATTTTAACAAATAAGTAATAATTTTTTTTTCCTTATTCATTCATAAAATTGGATTTGTCTCTGTGCAAAACTCACTAAACTAATTTATTCGATAAATTTCGCAGTATATAATACACAAGAAATAAACTGCAATCGCATTAGTGTTAAGAACATTACAAAGTTAAAAGTTTCTTTTCTTAAGAAAAAAATAAACAATCAACCATATAGATCAATTCAATATCCTATCATGAAATGGAATTCCTTATGATGACAAAAAACATTAGTCAATTTTTTTTCCCCCAAATTCATAATTCATAAAAAAACACCCATGTAATCTATGTATTGTATCCGTTGTCTAGTAGTAGTGATTTACATACAAAGTAAAAATTTAACAAGACACAATATGTATACCTATGTATAATATGATAGTGCAAGAAAATTGTTTTCAGAAAATTTATTGTCATTATTTCGGTTTGCATTAAAAACTCTTTGTCTCTCTCTCTCTCTCTTTCGATCTCTTCTACTAAAACCCTTTTACCTGTCATTTGGAAAGTATTAATTCAGTTTGTAATATATATATATATATATATATATGTATATATATATATATATATCTGTATAATTGTCTGTCTAACAAACTTCAATAATTGGTTGGCAATGATAATCATTAAATCATAGGTAAATGATTATAGGATAAATTTTTAAGTATTTGTATTGATTTCATTTTTAAATGTGTCTTACCTACCAGTGATTACGTGAACGAATTATGAGCTGTTTTCATACTTTATGTATGACAGTGGCAATAAAGTTGACTATTCATTGCACTGATAATAACTTCGCCATAGAAAGGCGATGAGAATGAAGCGACTAATTATACAATGTTTCGTATAAAACTACTAGCAGTTTACAAGTTGATTAGGAGAAAAATCATGCGTGCTAAATGTTTCATTTAGTATGTAATTCATTGATTTGAGACCAAGAAATCTTTCAAGTCAGTTATTATCCATGGTAAAGTTGTGATGCAACTCGATCGCAATCAACCGTCCGTCATCCTTGAGCTATATTACCCTTACCCTAGAAAATTGTTTATCAAACGCATCATAGATTGCGCATAAGAAAAAAAAGTCGAAATCTCTCTTATGAATGTTGAAAAAATGTTATCTCGTTGTAATATTATGGATACTGATGAACATATTTCATCATAATCTTACTTTAGTTTCAGTGTCCTCACTTTTTACTTTCGTACTATGAAAGTGCATATTTTTGCTGCTTATGTATGTATACAATAAAGGCGGTGAAAAATACCGTCTACCCCTCACTTCTCAAAAATCTTACAATACCTTAGACGAATTGAGTTTACGATAAATGATATTCCTTTGTTTCGACCAGTTTAGAGAAAAAAAAAAGAGCAACCAAAGAAACTGCTCATAACTTTGTCGAATGATAAAATCTTTCAATAAAAAATGACCAGTTTTGAAATTTTTTTAATCAAACCTTATTATTCTTTCAAAAAAAGCATCCTGATACTATTCATTTTCATACTAAATAAAGGGCCAAAAAAAAATCTTACTCTCTTTCTCGTAAAGTAAAACATATACACGATATTTGATTTTAGTGATAGATAACAGAAAAAACGAAGGATAAAAATTCCGATTATTCAATCGAGGGAATTTTTGATAAATCAATTGTAAATATCTCTGGAAATGACTCAACTTAATTTCTTGAATATAACAATTTGCAAAAAAACATTAATAGCTGTTTTATTTCCTTACAAAACTTTTAATTTATTACATTTAATTATTTTTTTTTAACTGAATAATTTAATTACAAATAAAAATATGTGAGTAATCGTTAAACTAAAAAAAAAATTAGAATAATAATAAAAACGCAATTATTCACTTTCAGTTTGTTTATCTCAAACTGTGATACTTTCCACATTAATTTTTTTTTAATGTCACAAATTTTTTGACACTGATTTTCACACTAACCACAAATAGTAAACAATAAAATGTTGAGATAAACATTCTACGATGATAACCTGCTTCATTGAACATCTATGTAGCGTACATCTGCGCGTAGATAAAGACATAGTTTACTAAAACACAAAATGCAGTCTCACTCGTTTTTAGGTTCAAATAGAAAAGCAAACAGTAAAACAAAAAATTTAGCGGTTTATTTGATGTTACTAATAAGTAATTTTAACATTAAAAAAAATCCACTCCATTCTCACTTCTCTAGTTCATACGATTTTCTTTTCTTGTACCAACCATTTTATAAGTAAGTAAGTAAGAAAGTAAGTAAGAATGAAAAAAAAGATACTGATGATAAACAAGTTAAATGGTTTTGCATTTCGCTTTTGTATTTATTTTGTTTTCCTCATTCCTAAAATTGATAAAATCTTTATGAGTAATTCTATGTAGGTTTTTATTGTCCAAAACTGATGGAACAAAACAAAATGAATAATTTGATTCTTTTATTCACTTACTTATAGTAAATAACAATCATTTTATTTGAATAAAACAAGACAAGATATAGAGAAATAAAATGGAAATGTATGATATTATTGGTTAAGAACGATAGCAGTAATCATATAAGTTCAGCAAATATTTTCAACATTCAATGGTTTGAATTTTCTGATTTATATCATTAGTATATTTGAATAAATTCGAAGCTTTACTAATAGACAGCACAATTCTTTTTCTTGGATAAGAGAATAAAGACTTGTTGGCATGTTTTTCTGTGTTTATGTCATTTTACAAAGTGGGAAGATTTATGTTTTGCACACAATGATGCACAGTATATTATCTTATCACTTTAAGATACTTAGTCAGTTACAGACAAAATACGGACATACATACACCTCCCTAGAACTCATATCAGCCAGTTAACAAAAAGAGTTCACAAGATCAAAATCAAAGTACCGAACATATATATATATATATATTACCGTTTCTAGAAGAATAAGCTTTACCGACAAATATGTGACAGCAGTTATTATAAATACTCATGGTGAAAAACAAACTCAAGAATTTTATTTAACAAGATTTATGTCATCAGTCAATAATTAGATAAACCGATTTCACATCGTAGCTATCCCATTTCTAAATTCTTTACAGTCAATTTCTGTGCCTGAAATCACTAAACAGTGAAGTAGGTAGAGATTGAGCATACAAAACTTCTATTAGTGACATTTAGCATCCATGCGAACTAACTGAACAATTCTGCTTAGAAACGTTTGTCTAAGCATGGTAATACTCAGGTGCGCTGGTTCCGGAATATCAAAGCATTACATCGCAAGTAACTACATTCGGACAAATCCTTTCGATTAAAACTTTTTAACAGAGGCAGAGATTTTATCTGCTATAGAATCAATAAGACTATCGTTTGTTACTCATTTAAAGAAATTAGATGATGGAATTTTCCAAATACTATTGCGACGAAACATAAGTGACTTGGAATCTTTATGAATGAAAATTTGACTTTGATATAATACGTCACACTACGACTAAAAGTATTTCAAACACTAAACTCTAAATTTGGAAACGATTTGTTTTTATTTTGTCTGAATAAACAACAATCATAATCACTTAGTAGCTTTGTAAAGTCAACTATTTCCTTTGGTTTTTTAAAGCTTAGTTGGCTTAACAGAATGTGGTTGTACAGTTGTTTTCATATTAACATTTCGTATGCATAAGTTGACTGTTGTGTAGTTTACTTTATTTCAAAGTATATAATTGTTTTATAGAAATATGATATGTGATTAATGATCAATAATTATTCCTAATAAAGGTAATTATCTGTCAGCACAAATATCTCATGACTGATAAAAGGAGTAAAGTTGGATAGTGTTTAACAGTGGAATCCAAGACGTGCATTTCATCTCGCCTGAGACTCATCTGTATGATTTATCAGCCACTATCCAACGTTTCTAATAACTCATGATTGAATAGCTATACAAAAGTTTTTAGTCCATAAAACTAGTTATATACACATAATTATTTAAATTTATCTCGAGTGGTAAATCAAACTATGATCAGAAATCATTCTCACTGGAAAATGATGACTTGAATAATTCTGTAGAATGTTTTAATTCAAAATGTTGATAGATTAAAAGTTAATAGTTTGGTAATATTCTGCTGAGTGAGATTATAAGCAATCGAGTGGTTTACGGTAGTAATTACTTTTTAGTCATCACTAAATCCACTGACTTTTATGCTGAGCGTTCAATAAAATATTTAAAAAATCAATTACCTAGTCCTGACGAAATCTTAAAAATAAATTATTGTACAACAAACTGAATGAAGCAAGCATCATATCAAGTCTTTCCATTAATATTACCCAATCGTAATTTCTAAGCGTAGATTTCAATCATGATCAAGTTATCTTCATCGATCCTAAAACATTTTTTAAGTAAAGCATATTCCTTAAACAAAGTGAACTAATCACTCATGCATTTTGTTAACTTATTCACAATGATAAATACAGTTCCTTTATCAGCTTATTTTTACCAATGATTTTTCTGCTTTTATTCAATTATTTATAGTACAAATGCCTGATTTGAAATTTCAACCAGACAAAATGGATTCCAATGAATTAAATCACCAAGAATCTCAAATAACGTCTCCCAGTCTTCCATATTTACTCAGTGAACACTCTTCATCAATAAATAATCCTTTGGGACAAACAACAACTTATGTACTTGCAATAATTTGTAGTCTTTTAGTCATATTAATATGTTTTGGTTTATTTTGTTTATTTTGTGTTTGGGGACGTGAACGTTTACGTGCACCATTTCGTCATAAATTTAGCAGAACAACTAAACGATTAAGCAGTTCTACACAATTTGATTCAAATCCAAGTGTAAATAATAAAACAAATGCTCAATACGTATCATTATTAACAGAACAATTGAAAATCAATAATCTTATGAATAATGTAGTGGTGACTACTACAACAAATGATTCAGTCGGTGATATACAATATCAATTTCAACATCCACAACGATGTCAAGAATCAGCTGTACGACTTCCTAGTACAACTGCTTATTTAGGTGGATTTCAATTTATAACAAGCAATGGAATGACACCATTAAGTATTAACTTGACTACGAATTCATTACATCCAACATTTCAACCAGTTGGACTAGATAATAATCATATTAATCATAATCATAATTATCCTACACATATAAACTCAAATAATCTATTTAGTTCATTATCCAATGAACTTAATGGCAATTTGATAACAACAAGCATTCCCGGTACAAAATCATTTGATCCGAAGGATTCACATTCGATTGTATCACTTATGACACCGAATGTAAGTTTTATTTACTGTGTATTAGGTGATATAGTGAATTTATTTTCATTAAAGTTTTGTAAAACGCTTTTTTTAACAAGAAAGATATTCAATAATCATCATGCTCATTAAATGTCAGAAAGTATTATTCTTTCATCCAAAACGATTAAACGGATTCCTAACACAGAAAGTTTGAACAGTAGTGATTTTAAAGTATTTCCATGACAGATTTTACATTATAGATCGTTATATAATGCTGATTTAATAGGCTTGAATTGAGATTGATTTGTTGGACTTTTTTATGTACATCCGAAAAAACACGTCATCTGTAGTGTCAAGAAATTATGAAGAAAACTTTCACAAAGTTCATATTATCCAGAGCAAGAAATGTTTTAAACGTTTAATTCCTAGAGCTTAGATTATAATATAATGCGTTTATTTCATAAAGATTACCCTTAGTCAATAATCGTATGATGAAATGCTAATTAGCAAACCGTAAATAAATACGAATCATTGAGAATTAGTTTATTTGCTAGACAAAAATAGGATCAGATTTCGATGCTTTGATGAATCCAACTTTCGGTTAAATACATGAATTCTACGAGCAGCGGTGATCACTATTCTAAGAGAAAGAGATAAAAGATACTGTACAAAGGAGTTTTTTGTTATATCATGAATCCTATGCAATCAGTTGGACAACGGCAGTTAGGTTAAATTGACATTCAAAATGCACTCTGACCGTCATAGCTTAATAGCCGCAAATATTTGTTTGTATTTAAAATCTTTCTGTTTTAAAGTTTATTCAAGCTGGATCTATGACACCGAATTTCCATGAAACATATCTGCGATCCGATGAGAATATTTTAAACAATAATAATTTTCGTAAACCATTTCATGACAATTCAATTTATACAAGTCTACCTGGATCCGATTGTGATTCTCAACCGTATGCAAAAGTTGACACAATGAACAATACTCTAATGCATCAGTTTCAATCGAATAATTCCAGCATAGATCTATCTCAATATAATATTTCTTTCAATCAATGTAATGGAGATAGTCGTTTGTTTAATCCAATGAATTTACCTCCACCACCAAGTCTTCCATTGCCTCCAACACCACAACATTTCACAACAACATTAATATCAACGACAACAGCAACAACAACATCAATAATGACAGCAGCAGCCGCAACAACATCAACAACAACAACAATTTGTTCACAAACCATCAATTCAAGAAATAGAAGTGATTCCATGTCATTAAATAAAACTGTTAATAACAACACATTTTGTGCATATAATTCTAATGTCAACAAATGTATTTCAAATAATGATATATCTACCTGGTTAGATTCAAATGGACAATTTGTTTCCATAGCTAATCCTTTATTTGATAATAATTTAGGTGTAGATCCAATAAATATGAATAGTATAAATAATTTTCAAAATTTTTCAGGTGAGTTTAATATAGTTTAAAGCCTGAAAGAAAGTGTATTATTTGACTATTTTTCTTTTCACACATTTGAAATCATGAGTCGATCAAAGTTAAACTACCATTAGAAAGCTGGAGGCAGTGGACGGCCGTTTGGTCCTGGTATTGGACTCATTAGCAGTGCGCATCCACGACTCCTACATCTCGCAGGATTCGGACCCAGATCATTCGGTTTGCGTGAACGCCTAACCTCTGGACCACTGAGTCGGTATCTAACATTATCTGATATCAGTTGGTAATGCAACATTAGTTTAAAATCAATTTTAAATTGATCGGAAATGGCTTTTTCAAACATACTTTGAAGTTAATTCTCATGAAGTAGCGATGTAAACGTGGACATGAAATGGGTTCTTCAAGAAAATTTCACATAGTTCTAGGAATGAATAGTCTTACAAGGAATTCCGAGGAGATTTACACAGAAGTAATCATTTGTACGGTAAAGCAGGTAGAAAGTGAACTTATTACCCATTCAAAAGTTAACATCTAGAACTTGTTGAAATCAATTGATATTGTAACTATTCAGTGGTAAAACTTCAACTTTTTTAGCCAAATTTAATTTTAATCGTCACAGTAGGCAAATTTCCGAAACTCTCGACAATAAACATAGAAAATTCTTTTGTAACTTTTTGTCATTACTGATCTGCTATCTAATCCTAGTCGGTGATGTGATTTTCTTTAAGTTTCTTATCTACTAGCACTTGATAAAAAAAACTCCTTTCCTAGTAATTTATATATATTTATACCTTTATAAGACGACAAATATTTTTATTCAATGAAAAAAACAACTAGGAAGCAAATGAATGATATGTTTTCTTCTCTGCTGGATAATTATTTTCTGAAAATAATCATCCCCGTAGGTGTTTAATCATAAATTGAATAGATTTTCTAATCCATTTTATAATATAATAAGTAAATGATTTTCATTCGAAATTCCGATTCATCCTTTCAATTCTACTGAATTCATAAGTAGCAAATCTAGATTAGGAAAATATTCAACAAAGTATCAATAATATTAGTTAATTGGCACAAATACGACAATGACCCGCCAATACAATGAAAACCTGTTAGTCATTCAACTTCAACTTAGCATTTCTCATAGAATGATGAAGCCTCTAGAAACTATATTTTAGAATGAATAGATATTCTTCTGACAAAATTTTAATTTTCATATGTCAACAGTTAGAATGTTTATTATCAAGTTAAAAATTACCATTGTATAAATGAGAATAATAAGTGTTTTAAATTATATACCATATGATTCATAAATGATATTTGCTTTTTTGTTCACACAAACAAAATATCAGAATGTTAAATTATTGAACAAAATAGATGGGTTCATTAAAACAAAAAGAATTGAACATTTTCAACAAAAACTGAAATTACTGATAGTTTCGAAATTGTTGACGCCCAACTATTCAATAAAATATTTTTTCTTTTTACAAAAATAAATGGCTCCAATGTTTTATTTAAAAAAAATATAGTCTTGCCTAACCCTATTATTTCTAGTTGTGATAAACGTAAACCATCATCAAGGTGTATGTGTAATATTTAAAAAAATCCATTGAAATGACCAATCTATTTAGGAATCTAGAAAGAATAAAAATTCTGAAATTTCACTAAACGGTGATATGTCTATTTAGGAGTAATTCAGAAAGATAATTCATTTAAAACAAACTATACGCCTCATGATTATATTTTATAGGACTTATAAAATAGTATATTGAATAGTATACTAAAACAAACATGGTCATTTTCCATAAATCTTCACAGTTAATTAATATTCTAAAACAACGTAATCAGTTATTTCATCCCGAACTAAAAAGTCTACATTCAAATATCTACTTTACTGAACATGGCAGCAAAATAACTGGACTCACTAGTTATCTTTTTAAAGGAGGACCAGTTATTTGCTTTAATGGTAATTAAATTTTTAAAAATCAATAGTGATTTATCAAATGTTAGTTAAAACTATAGACGATGCAAACAGATTTGACTAGAAATTCGGTTATAAAGATATGGAAAGTTAATGAATTATTCAGTGTTTTATGAATCTATCTAATAAAATAAATTCACTTAATTGAACATCGAAGCAAAAATAGAAAAAAAAACTTTAACTTAATACAGTTACTGTTAAATTAGGAAGTATTTAACAGCTACTTCTTTTTTCATTTAAGAGTACTTGGCATTGTACACGCACACAATCACTTACACGATCGAGGTTGGTCTTTCGGTGATCGTAATATATTTAGATCAATAGGCAAGGTTCTTCTCAACCCAATTTAAAATTTCAGTTAGTTTATGTAATTGTGGGACACTTGTTTTAATCGATTAACTGTTCCAATTTCAACATTTGGAAAATTTACTAGTTACATTCTTTATAAAAGCACTTATGTGATCCTTCTAGAAGCCAGTTGGTAGTAAGCACGTGACTAATGATTGTTCAATTAATTTGTGTGAATTTATCAATGACTGACTTTTGTTTCTTCAAGGTCTATATGTATGAACATGACGTTTCATTTATATAGGAGTTCAAAATTCAGAATATTCCAACTCAACCACAGATGGTTCAAATACTTATAATGCTTATTATGGTACACCAAATATGCTACCTTTATCCATCCCCACAGTTCAAATGATTACAGTGAGTTTTTTCAAAATATAAAAGCTTACTTATCATTCTTGTATATGTTTGTTTCTATGCTGTTTTATAGCGATGGTGTACTTCCATAACAGCTTTTAATATTTACTAGTTTTATACGTATCAAGATCTACGTGCAGTAATCGAAAACAGGAAAAAAACAGTTAAGCATTCTTCTGTAGCAGCTAACCATGGTAGCAATTACTAAATAACCTCATGCCGTAAATCGTACTTGTAATCCAAACCTAACAGAATTTTTTAAAAAATAATGAAATGAAATGAAAATTCATGTTAGTTTATTGGTGCAAATTATAAAAGTGTTAATACAAATATGTATTACAAATGTGTCATTCTCTTCATACATACAAAGAACGGTGCTACAATCTCTTATGAAGCAATGAAATAACACTATTTATCATGATATTATTTTCCTCTTAATTTTGGTGGACACTGGACTTCAACTTATTTTTAAAATATGCTTAATTTTACTTCTTAATTTTTTCTGGCAGAAATAATTACAATGGATAATTAAAGCATTAAATAAGTGTTAACATCTTTTTTATTTAATAACATTGTATCATGAAAATAATTAATAATTCTATACATACAGTTAAAAAGTGCATTCCTTCAACCAAACATAGATATTGTGTACAGCGAGAGAGAAGATAAGTGATAAATACTCTCTAAGTCCTTGGATTTTCTTTTCAATGATAATTTTAATAGGGATGAAATACATTCATATGAAATATTCACTCAACTAATTTTCACTCATCTTACTTATATCCTTACACCTGCTACTCCATGTTAAGCAATCTCTCGCCACTCTCGTTCCCTTCTCCTAGTCCATGTCATCTTAAGATTTCTTTATATCCGGTGTTGTCCATTCCAACCTGGGCGCTTGTATCTCCAATATAAATAGCCAAATACTTTGCAGGACATTTCTAGACGATTGACTTCAGTCTCTCATAAAACTGACCTTGACCGTCTTCATCGGCATGAGTGATGATCACATAGTACTGGATGATATTCATTGTAATCTAATTTTTCTTTGTTTTAAACGATGCTTTGATGTTTCTGAGTCTGTGAGAATCTCATCCTCTAAATAGTTTCTGAGCTGCTCTGGATAGCACCAGTGCAATTTCATATGTGTATGAGCCATTTTCGTCTTCATAGTCGGAGTACAACAACATCTCCATCCAAGCTAATCATTTTTGTCCAACATGCACCCATTGAGTTTCATTTATTTCAATCAATAGCAGGTCGTATCTTTTCATTTACGCAGCGAATTCAATAGTTTTACCGACCTCCCATAATTTCAAAAAGTATCGAGTACCTATATTAATTGTTGATCTGGTTGTGAGTAGACTTATCTGACTTGTGACTTCCGAAGAAATTTGACATGAAAACTCTTCTGAATGAAGACCTTCCAAGTGCTAGAGCAGATTTTGAATGGTCAGAATTATTTTTTTGGGTTAGCATTTTTTAACGAGTTAGTTTTCTACAGGGTGAGGTTCCTAACATCAAACCCAACTCTCCTACTCAGTTCGGTCTTGGAAGCTTAAGGAAGCGATCTAGAGGGAGTTATCAAAAACTAGGGGATCTTTTCATATAATGAATCCGTATTAGATATTCATCTACAAACCCAAAATGGTAATAGTTCTTTTCTCAGTGCCACGAGAAAGCCTAACAAAAATCTGAAAAAAATCATTTCTTTTTTCTTACAGTGCATAAAATAGAGTGGATAATTTACTTTTCAACATTCCTTTTTTTTTACTGATTGTTTTAATTTTGTTATATTTGACATATAATCCCAAATAATTTATTCCAAACTATCTTTTTTGTTAATATTATCTGTTTTATAGATTAAACGTTGATAAATCAAAGTGAATACATTTGGTTACAAAAATGTTAATTATTACAATTTAGACACATATTTTCTCTCTTCTATTCTAATCTAATCTTATCGAAAATAGAACTAGTTTTGTTCCAAAACAAAAACAAAGCACACTCAATCAAATGTTTCATTTGTTCAAGTAAGTTTCATTTATATTTTATAGATGATGTATAATTGCTTTTACTTGTATATACTAACTATATTCTCACAGATATATAAAATTTTATAACTAAGCAATTTCTCTCAATCAACACTGACATGTTATTAAATGATCGAAGTAATGTCAATGAGATAAGCGGACAATGATTTATGTATTGCGATTCACTATAAAGCACTTTATGAAATCGTTTCAAGTATAGTACAAATCATGATCATAACATTGATGACTGTTTGACTAAATCTGGAGCAGTGTAAGAACAATACACTTTTAACACCGAATAATGTTAGTCTGTTGTACAATAATTCTATTCACAGATAAATACGAGTATGACATCATGTTATGTAAGACATCAACCAGTAAACCTGAGATGAAATAAAATGAACTAGTTTTAATACATTTAGAAAAAAGAGGCAAAAAACCAGTTAAATAGTTTCAAGTAACATAAATCGGATTTTTGAAAATATTGATCAGAATGTAAGATAACAAACATACTGTTGCATAATTACAAGTGATAATTGAATATTTGAAATGATAAATATGATCAATCAAGATGGTGATAAATAAAAATATTAGAACAGTGCTTTGAAAAAAAAATTGAAATTTATGCAAATTTGTCTACTGGCATCATGTCGACGTCATGTCGTTTCTTGCAGCTGCTTTGAACTCTTAGTTAAAGAAGCTGAAGTTTGTAGGGATGACGTTGTCGGGAATGTCACGCAAAGCAAAATGATTAAAGCATATATAACTGAAAGAAACAACACGCGAAAACCGATTCTGAGCTTCGAAAATTCTTCATCGTGTTTGTTTAGATTTACTAGTAATGTAACCAGCAGTAAGCTATGTTAACTTCACGGATAAAATAAAAATGAATTTTGTCCATTCGGGAAGATAACGATGAAATTCTCGGCCCTAATAATGCTGATTATGAAATGCGAACATTCATCTGAAAATGTAACGTAGGCTTCTATCATTTATTTCAAACAATTAAACTACGACTTACTCAAATTCAGCTCAGTGTTGTAAAAGGCAGGTTTAATCTAAACTGTTTTTACTGAATTTACGACATAGTCAAACTATTAAATTTTTTGTCGTTTCAACACGCAACAAAAGCATCAGATGAATAAACTATAAAATTTATGCTTGAGAAACATTATATTCGTTTTCTTTCTAAAATGATAAATACCGTAAATAAACACTTTTATCCAAGCTGTGGGCTTTAAAATGTATATTTTACACGGGAAAATATGCATACAGTTAATGTCTACAAAGATGCATAAAACAACAGTCATTTATGTAAAGCAATATTGTTTAAGGAGTCGAAATAATTACTCAACGATTCACTGGACGAATTTCGTGAAATAACTATTTGAATTGTACGTAAACCTCAAAGAGTTTCAATTTAGATTGAAAACGAGATAAGAATATATGGTGCATAAATGAAAATATGTATGAGAATAGAATGTCATATAAAGTAGAAAAGGAATAAAACTATTTTGTACAAATAATTTTGAATACATTATTTTTATTGTTGTCGACATGATAGTTTGAAAAAGATGAATTCTTCATCTTGATTAACTGTCAGCCAGCCAATTCGATACTGATATATAGTTTGAGAATCAGTTTTCACAAACAACTGACTTGATTCCAACCTCATTGGAGGATCTAGCTAGGTTTAAGACCATGTCAGTGTAAAAGAATGCTATGTGTACCCCAAAGCACCTAGTAACCAAACAGCACCGGGACTCGCTAACAACATCAAGAAATGACGAAGTCTTGATCATGAGCGTGTCAGATACGGGAGGAAGTATAATTTTGATGAACAAGACGGAAGCCGTCGATAAAATGAACACGGTTCTAGCAAATTTCAAAAAGCTACTGATAATAAAGACATCAATCAAAAAGGGCTCACATCTAGACCCAAGTTTAGGTGATTTCTTTCTAGGAAAATTAGAAAATAGACCCTGTAATGAGACCAGTAAGAAAATAAATCTATGTTACTGCTACATTTATGACACATTCATTATCGTAGATTAGAATAACAGTAAACAAGGACTCTTAGAAGAGTTCAACCGCGTAGAAGCGGCAATCACTTTCACCGCTGAGGACGAATATGACAAAAAGCTGAATTTCCTTGACATGTCAATAAGTAGACGGAGTGACTGCTCATCACTACCAGGTAACTGAACCAACGAATCAGTGAGCATCTCCCAGAGTGGTTTGGAAAGGACGAAGCAAAAAGAACATGCAGCTTTTTCTTGGCACACCTGATCAATAGCGGCCATAATACAGATAAAACTGAATCATCTGCCAACAAGGTTAAAGCCCATCTTCTACATTGGAATCCGAACATTCAACCCTAATTTATGTGTTCAAAAGAAATTCGTGACAACCATGTTCCTTCTTTGGCCTGGTAATAAACGATTTTAAACTTTTTATTCTAGTATTATTTTCACATCCTATATTTGCTTGTCATTTTTTCCACCTGTTACTGTTTATATTCGTCACCATCTAATTATTTTACACTTTTCTTATCACATGATTTTTAACAGAGCTTTGCGATTATAATTTTAAGTCTGTTTATCTAAGTTTGACCTACTTCTTCCAATGTTGAATTGTCTACAAAAACTTTTATTATTGTATTTTATTATCCTTACCACTAACAGTACACCTGTCTTCCTACTATCAACTTGTACTTTTACCTGTTCCGTGTAGTTACTTAATCTATTTTATTGTAATTATTGACTCATAAATTGCCTTGACTGGTTTAAAGTTTCATATAAATATTCATGCATATTATAGTAAAAACTGGCGACGATCTAACTGAAAACAATATCGTATGCTGATATGTGTTGTGTTCTAACCGTCCACCAGTGAGTGGTAATTAAGCATACACGTCCAGTAAATACGAATCACTAAGATGATCATTTTTGAACATACTTCAGTGAACTATGTTGTGAATGGCTTACTCATGCGGTGTAAAAGAATGTTTACTGTATTTCAAAATAACTGACTTGGAAAGTCTAGTCCGGTTGACAAATAATCGTTTGTGTGAACATATGAAGTATCAATCGATTAAATATTTACTAATGAGTAATTATTAGACCACCGTTAGAAATCTGGAAGCATTGGACGGCCGCTTCATCTTTTTATGGAACTCATCAGCAGTGCACGTACACGACCTCCGCTTACGGGAGCAGAACCCAAGGCCTTCGGCCGTGCGTTCGTACGCTTAACCTCCAGACCAGTGAGCCAGTATCCAACGATGTAAATGCCTAACTCTAATCAATCCCATTTATTGAGCAACCTTTATATTAAATTCATTCATTTATGAAAAATAACTTAAAGCTTATAAGAAAAAACGCTTCGTTAAAAAAATTTAAAATTCTACTATAATTTTGTATTGGTTTGTTAATATCCACAATAAATTATCTAAATATAAGTAAAATTATGCCATCTTTTTTCAAATCTGTGAATTAAATTATTAAAAGAATACCTAAAGACAATTGAATATAAAAAACGTTTTCTTGATGAGCTGTTATTATTGAACTTGGTATTTATCAAATTGTTTATGCATAGTTAATAAATAAACTTTCTTTTCTGACACATTTTTGATACTATTTTGATTATTCACAACATTTCGAATCAATTCAAGTATTATTAATCTTGGACAGTATTGATCAATGAATGGTCATTATCGTGAAGATGCTAATTTAATGTTTTAAACATTTACTTAAAATAAAGTTAGTATTTTTTTCCAAACATCAGTATTCACCATAGCTAAACAGCATTCCCTCTGTTAGTATATAAATAGAACTACGTACAAATTTGATAATTGATCAAAATTTGTTTACGAAATAAAAATAAATTATTGCTGATTGTTAAAGAAGTTGATTCTTTTAATGCAATAACATCATTATTATTCTGTTTCTTTTACATATTATTTATTGACAGATCAATCATAGTCTGAAATAAATTTGGATCACCAGTGAAATTCAACACTAGTAAATATATATATATATATATATATATATATGTATATATATATATATATATAATTGTTTTAATCAGTTATCTTCATAATAATAATGTTGTTGTCCGAAAGTGTTGTTCAATGTATTATTTTTGGGCGTTTTTCTTTTTGTTACTGTAAAACCAAACCTGAAATTCAACATTATTCATTTGTAACAGATCCATGGAACTATACCTAATAATTATGTACTTAAATTTGTCTTCGAAATTGTACTTGGCCGGACTTAAATGTCAGTAGTATTTCTTCATGAAATCAAAAACAAAAAAAAGAAATTCTTACTACTGCATCACAATTATTGGCTGTGAATGTTTCCAGTCTTCTTCATTTTCCGAATAACACTACTACATATTCTTGTGAACCTCCTCACTTCAAGCACATTCTTGATGTTACCGTTTCAACTGTGTCGGTTTCATCTGTCAACGCTTTTTTTCATTTTCAGGATTCTTTGATGTATGTAATAACTATTCAATGATGTGTTCCTTTTTTTGTTTTTGTTTTGTTTTGTTTAGAGATTTAGTAAATTTGTTGAAAAAAATATTGAAAAATTTGATCAATCCAGTCTTATCTGCTTGTGTTTGTTTATATTGAATAATTTATTTTCATTCTCATTCACGTATTCATGCACACACACACACATACAAGACACAGCTAATTTAAACAAAAACATGTATACAATATTTTTCTCATAGATAATTCATGTTCAAACAATGTAACCATGTTCACCTCATGTACAAAAGATTATTAATACTATTACTACTGCTACTACTACTACTACTACTACTACTACTACTGTATACATACCAATGAATGCAGAACAACAAATCATCATGAACACAATTCAAATAATTTGCGTATAATGATTGTTTTATTAAAACAAAATCAGTAAATTGAGATTCTGTGGTCAAATTGTTTAGTTTTCATCTTGATTTTCTTCTTCTGATTCTTCGTC